AAGGGGTGACATTGACCAAGAAACATTGTACTCATAACCTGACTTAGGCAACTGTAACCCCTTCTACAACTACTTAGTAAGAACTACTTAAAATAAAGTTTTAACTCCTTAAAACAAAAATTTAACTACTTAAAACAGAAAGTACTGCAAAAAAGGTGACTAGATATAAAATAAATGCACATGATAGCATTAGAAAAGGTATAAAAGGAATCCTTCAAGCATCCACAGAAATGTATGCTTCTGTATTTTCCCTTTAAGAAACAAAATTTGAGGACTGGAGGTATGATTCAAGAGGATCTCCAGGAAGCCAAAACCCTGGGTTCAATCCTCAGTACTGGCAAAAAAATCTTAAAAACAAAAAGTGTTTAAAAATAAAAACAAATTATGGCAGACATACTACTGGGTGCAAACCTGTAATCCTAGTGACTTTGGAAGCAGAGATGAGGAGGGGATTGTGGTTTGAAGCCAACCTGAGTAAGAAAGACATTCTTCAGACTCCATTGAGCCAATAGCTGAGCTCCGTTGGACACTGTGGTAGATGCCTGTTAGCTCCAGGGTCAAAGGGCACAAGGCCAGGATAACAGCCCAGACTGGCTTGGGTATAAAGTGAGACCTTACCTCAAAAATAACCAATGCAAGACTGGAGGCATGGTTCAAGTGCCTCAGAAGAATGAAAAAGCCAAGATAAAAAGAGCAAGGTCTTGGGGGTTGGGAAGGTGGCTCAGTGGTAGAGCGCTTGCCTTGCATGCATAAGGCCCTGGGTTTGATTCCTCAGCACCACATAAGCAAAAAGAAAAAAGCTGGAAGTGGCGCTGTAGCTCAAGTGGTAGAGCACTAGTCTTGAGCTGAAGAGCTGAGGGACAGCGCCCAGGCCCAGAGTTCAGGGCCCCCCCCCGCCTCAAACCATGATACACACACACACACACACACACACACACTCACACACACACACACGCAAAAAAAGGACTGGAAGTGTGGCTCAAGAGGTAAAGCACTTGCTTGGTGAACGCAAGGTGTGGTGTTCACTCCCCAGTAACAAAACAGCAACAAAAAATTCCATCTATTAGCCTAAGAAAAATATCGTGTCTATTTTCATCCCCTCTTCTTGAGCAAATGCTCTAAAAAAATTTTAAATTGGATTTGTCCTTATAAATGCATATGACTGCTTAAAAATACTGTCAGTTTATCTTTGTGGAGGAAAAGGCCAGTCAATTCCTGTCTAATAACCAGTTTTGCTGTAGAAATGTGAGTCCTGGTTAGTTTTCTTGCCGGTGATGACATAAGGTTATGAGACAGACAGACAGCTTCATAAACTGTCACAGGACTGTAGAATGAGCACCTGGTAAACACCTCTCCCAAACATACCTTCTATCTATATGTCTGCCTGAGTGTGTGTGTGTATGTGCGCGCGCGCGTGCGTGTTTGTACACACATGCACACATATAAGTTAGTACTGGGACTTGAACTCAGGACCTCACCCTCTCACTCAAGTTTTTCCACTCCTGGATAGCACTATCATTTGAACCACACCTTCATTTCCAGCTTTTAGCTGATTATTTGGTGATAAAGAACCTCCCATTTGGATTTGTCTCTTGTCCTCCTGAATAGCTAGTATTAAAACAAAGGCACTTGACACCCAGCTCAATTTTTTAAATGATAGAATATTTGCACACTGCACAAAGTGGCACATGCCTGCAACCTCAGCATGTGGGAAGCAGAGACAGGAAGACTGAGTTTGAGTTCTGCCTTAACTACATAGTAAGATCCTATCCCCCCATACACAGCCCATACTATCTGGGCCAGGTCTTGCCCTTTGGCCCTCTAGCAGGCTAAAGGTGCTGGAGTGCCATTACAGAAACACCCATCAGGGGTGCCTTTTCTTAGATGCTGGAATCTGGTCTCCTTCTGTCTGTATCTTAGTTCAAACACATGGTTATTACATAGGCAATTTCCACCTCCTCTCCACCTTTTCTACCTTTCCTAAAATTTTAATTTCATGGCCAAATAATAAGTGTACATGTTTCTAAAGCACCATGAGATGGTTCCACTTTATGCATCTCAGGGGTAATGATCAAATCAGGATAATTGGACAAATATCCATCAGGTCAAACGTTTGGATCTTTTTTGTTTTTGAGGATACACACACATCCTCTCCTTTAACTATTCTGAAACATAACAATAAATTATTGCTAAAGACAAGCACCCTATTGTGTTTTAATTATAAGTTTCTGTTCTATTCAGGGATCCATCCTACTTGCTTGATACATGTCTATTTAATAAATGAATGCATTCCAGTGAGGTACGTAATTAGCAATAAGCAACCATATCATGGAAGATGTCAGACTGAGACCTAAATGACTACCAGGAGGAATGAAATCACCCAGGCTGCCATCTGACCACGCCTACCTGTGGCTAGAATGTGGTAGCACAAACTGCAAGGAAGCAATCAAGAAGGCGCCCGCCCTAGGCCTGAAGGAAATCTCAGGCCCAGCTGGGAGCCCTCCCATATTTATTTCTGCTCACTTCCTATGCACCTCTCCCTTGTCAACCTGGTACAACATGTTTATTTAAGAGATAATGTTGCTGTGGAGGAGTGCACAGAGCAATAAACAGCTTTTGCAGGCAATTAAATGCAGAAGCGAAATTGAGCTGCTGGTCAGCGGAACCAGCCATTCATCCTGAGTTTGTTCCAGTGTCACAAATGTTATTCCTGTTTCACAACAGGACAGAAATCTATGATTGGGCCACAAATCTCTGCAGGCCTGGGGATAGAGCAGAAGCGATTCAAGCAGCTCTCGGCTTCCAAGTCAGTCACAAGAACACGCTCAGCAATTGTAAGAGGCTGTCCCAAGAGACTGCTTTCTCCTTTCTTTTTAAATAGGTTTTGCACTTAGTAGGTATTATGCAGCTTGCTGGATTTTTTTTTTTTTGGGTCCGGTCATGGGGCCTGAACTCTGGGCCTGGGTGCTGTCCCTCAGCTCTTCAGCTCAAGGCTAGCGCTCTACCACTTGAGCCACAGCGCCACTTCCGGCTTTTTTTTTTTTTGCTTATGTGGTGTTGAGGAATCGAACCCAGGGCCTCATGCATGCAAGGCAAGCGCTCTACCACTGGGCCACCTTCCCAGCCCAGCTTGCTGGATTTTTATAAGGAAATTTACAGTAGTCTCGACTCTACAGAAATTCCCATGGAGTCATTATATGAATAATCGAATGTCTATCTGTAAGAAGTGTAGCTTAAAAAAAAAAGATCATTTCTACTAGTTGGCATTGTCTAGGAACCAGAAAGTGGAGCTTTGGGTTGAGAAACACAGGGCACACAGTGGTACTCAATGTTGCAAGGAAAGGCAGACAAAGTACACAAAGAAGACTCCATCTAGTCAAGAGTTATGAAGCAAGTTGGGTCTCAGAAATAGGCTCAAGTTAATACAAAAGATGTGGCTTCTGCTTCTAACTCTAGGCTAAGCCTAGATGTAGCCAAGGGCACCAGGCAGCAAAACAGGACAGGCATGCACAGGTAAGTTGAGGAAAACCTCCCAAAGGGAACAGAAAAACAAGGCAGCAGCCATGGGAGTAACCCATCCATCCACCCTCTCCTGAGTAGCTGTCACCAAGAGGGACAAGTCACTACCCAAAGAGCAGAGTAAAGGACTTCCCAGAAACAAAGCAAGGTGCGGGGCACTTCATCTTCCACTCTCATGCTTCTCTGCTAAGCTACAATGATCATTCTGGTTACAAAGGAATCTGAATCCATTCCTATCCTTTCAACATTAGCTAAAAGTACCTAACATCTGTAGGTTTATATGACTTCATAACAAAATACTTTTTATGACACACACACACATGCCCACACACACACATACACACACACATACTTTTTTCTTTTTTGGTCAATCGTGGGGCTTGAACTCTGGGCCTGGGCCCTGTCCCTCAGCTCTTCAGCTCAAGGCTAGTGCTCTACTACTTGAGCCACAGCGCCACTTCTGGCTTTTTCTGCTTATGTGGTGCTGAGCAATCAAACCCAGGGCCCCATGCGTGCAAGGCAAGCGCTCTACCACTGAGCCACCTTCCCAGCCTGACACACGTATTTTAATGAACACATTTGGTACCATTCGTATAAGCTTTATCTATCCTTTACAATTTCTATATCCTAAATGAGTCAAAAATGTTTCCTCCAAAGATAAAGAAATCATTCCACGGGTACTCATATGTGGTCCATTTTCATATCATAGTTTGTTGGGGGTTTTGTTTGTTTTCTTGTGCCAGCATTAGAGTTTTGCTAAAATCAGGGCCTGAACACAACGCCCCTAGTTTTTGCTCAATGCTAGGATTCTACTACTTGAGCCAGAGCTCTACTTCTAGTTTTTTTTTGGCGGTTAATTGGAGACAAGGATCTCATAGACATTCCTGCCCAGGCTAGTGTCCAACCTTGATTTCAGCCTCTTGAGTAGCTAGGATTACCTTCCGTCTCAACAGCCACCAGCACCGGACTTGCACGGTCTTTTAAAAATGCATGAAGTATGAAAGACCGACCTCAATTTATAGCAAAAAAAAAAAAGAATACAATCACATCGGCCCCACGAAAGATGACCTAATTGCTTCCCTTACCATTCTCCATGCAAACACACGCATTCTAACATTTTCCCTTCCCAGGGTACGAATTCATCAGGAAGAGTAGTGCTGCTCAGAAAACTGAGCCTAGTTTTTCCTAAGGGCTCAAGCTACTTGCACACCTAACTCTGGCTGACAGGGAATTTATGCAAAATGCCAGTGTGAGCAATTAAAAATCAAAAGTGAACCCAAACAGATGCATATTTCCTCTCAGGGTCCCCACAATCAACCTATGGGGTTAAATGGCTTTATTAGCAGAGGGGAAGACTCTTTGCACGACTTACATACTATGCCTACACATGTGTACACGCATGCCTCACTGAGCGTGGGTCTTTACGTGCATGTGTGTGAGTGTTTCACATATCCGGTTAAGTCTTCTTGATAGTCTCCTACCTGCCACTGGTTTCCTGTCTGACCAGGCACGTAAGGTGTTGGAAGGCTCCGAAGGCTGTTCTTCACGGGGGACCCCCCAAGGGAATTTCCCACATCCCCAGAAGAGGACTCAGCAGACAGGGCCATGGAGTACTGCGGGTAGTTGTACAGATTGTTGTAGTAGGGAAACAGAGATGGCTGGTAAAAGCTGCTGTAGTAGGTGGAGTCTGAAACCAGGTCAGGTGTGTTCTCCACGTGCCCTCTGCTGGTGACAGCAGGAATGTCCTGGATGACCATGCGTCCCTCTAAAAAGGAAGAGAAGAAGGGGGGGGGGGAGAGAGGACATAGCTTTAATGTAGAGGTCCATACAATTTAAACTCTGAGTGCTGATGATGAATGCACCCCCTGCTTTCTTCTCAATATATGCAGAGCAAAGTACCTGGAAGGTTCCAAGGCTGGTACCATTACAGGGTATAGCTGAAAGACCCTTGCTGGATATGTGGGAGTGGGGTGGGTGAACTTTTACTCAGGGCTGGGACTCTGTCTCTGAACTTCTTTTGCTCAAAGCTAATGATCTACGAACTTGAGCCCCACAGCTTCACTTCCAGTATTTTTGATAGTTCAGTGGAGATAAAGAGTCTCACACACTTTCCTGCTTAGGCTGGCTTCAAACTCAGATCTCAGATCTTAGCCTCCTGAGTAGCTAGGTTTAAGGTGTGAACCACAGGCATCGTTTGGCTGGCTGAGTTTTGTTTTTGTTTTTGGGTTTTTTGTTTGTTTGTGTTTTACTGAGATTACCAACTAGTTTCAGAGGTAGATCTAATTATATACAGTTTGACAGTCTAACTTCAACCTAGACATTCCTACCCTTATGTCAAGATACTAAAGACCAAACCCAGTTAAACTGCATTCTTACCATAAAAGTCACTGCAGTTCACTTTAAATAAAGGAAATAAATGCCCCGACACCCTAAGTCTGGCACCCTCAAAGATGGGCCAGAAAGTAGAAGATAGAGGCTAGGAGGTTAAACACACATTATTTCCTTCACAGTTAACACTGTATCCTTTAAAGTCTGAACTATGGTGTAGACGGGGAGGCAGACTTGTAGGTCAGTCCAGTGAAGCATTCTGACAATATGAGTGCTTTTGTATAGAACTTTTTCACATAAATGGGAAACGAACCAATCTGTCCCGAAGAATTCAAACTGCCAAACCCTGACACACAGGCTTTAAACTGCTTATTGTCAAAGTCAAAGACTGAATGAAAACTGTGCACTGGAGGAGACTGAATGAAAGCCCGGCACTGGTAGTTCATGCTTATAATCCAAGCTACTCAAGAGGCTGAGACCTGAGGATAGCAGTCCAGAGCTAACCCAGGCAGGAAAGTCCATGATACTCTTATCTCCAATTAGCCACCAAAAAAAAGAACTGGGACTGGAGTTGTGGCTCAAGTGGCAGAATGCTAGCCTTGAGCAAGAGAAACTCAAGGGTGGTGCTCAGGTCCTGAGTTCAAGCCTTAGGGCCACCACGAACTAACAACACACAAAAGATTGAATGAACTCATAAGCCATCCTTCTAGCTAAGAGACCTAAAGAGGGCTTCAAGGTATCCTGCCTTTCCCCAAAAACACACACTCAGGAAACACATGATCTAAGATAGGATCACAATCACAGCACCATCCCACATCCCCAGAATGCCCAGAAACAGGAAGAGGAAATCAGAGAAAGGAAAGATGTCCTGAAGCCTAAAAACGAAAAGCTGGGTCTGATCTGCACCTTATAAATGGAGTAATGGAATTGGGTGGAGGGGATGTAACTCAGTAGGAGAGCTTCATGGGTTGGAGGCAGACAAGGCAAACCCTGATCCAGTTTTCAAGATCTCTGAGATGTAACAAGCATGTTCCGAGGATCCCTGGACAAGGAGGTTACCCAGAAAGCTGTGCAGTGGGAGATCTGCCTAATGGAATTCTCAACACAAGTAAAAGAGGAGCCACTGGGAGTAGCAAGGCCCACTCGTGAGTCACAGAAATAGTTTGGGGAGAGACTGCAAATGTCGGGGAGCCTGGTCTCCAGGAACATGTCAAGCATGAGACCCAACAGACCTGGAAGAATGAAGAAACAGGGGAAGATGGAGAGCAGGATCCTTGGAGCAGAGAAAAGAGGTAGGGGGTGTAACCTAGACAAAGGAAGGCCCAGGATGGAGGGTGTGAGGAGTAAGGACACCTGTGATCTTGGGAGACACAGAGACCAGAAGCTGGCATTCAGGTATCACCCAGCCATGGCCGAGATGGAAAGAAGAGAGCAGAAGCAGCAATCATACAGAAGGGAAACACAGTACCACATAGGCCAAGGTTGACATGGCTCACAGAGAGGGCAGCCTGCTCATGATCAAGCAAACGCAAGCCAGACATTGATGGTTCACGCCTGTGACCCTAGCTACTTAGGAGGCCGAGATTTGAGGATCATGGTTCCTAGCCAGCCCGGGTAGGAAAGTCTATGAGACTCTTATCTCCAATTAAGCATCAAAAGGACTAGTGCACATGCACAAACACACACACACAATCAGACTGGAAAGGATTGGCAGATGAGTAGGTCTGTGGGACCTGGTATTTTAGTACCATGGGAGCAGCAGAAGCCAGTTAACAAGGGAGCCTGGAGACAGCAAAGAGGAAACATGCACGAAGGAAATGGCCAGCTCCCATCATGCCTCAGTTCATCAAGGAACAGAATGACAACTGTAATAACTCTGAAGGTAACAAGGAAACAGCCTCCATAAATTGCATGGTAAACCTCACATAAAATGCTAGGGCAGGTCAAAGCGACCATCTGCTTTGCTACAATCATCTGCCTGTAATTAGTTAATTACTAATTACTTCTCTACTTTCCCTTATTTTATTTCATCTTTCAAGTTATAGTATGTTTGAATGATAAACTGACACATCCATGTTGGAACAGCAGAGTTCCACATCAGTGTCTGAATAATATAACCATATGCTCTTTGCAAGTATACCTATAAAAAATTTTTTTAAGTCAGTCATGGGGTTTGAACCCAGGGCCTGGACACTGTCTCTGAGCTCTCTGCTTAAGGCTAGTGCTCTACCACTTTGAGCCACATGGCTACTTTTGGGTTTCTGATAGTTAATTGAAGATAAATCTCTCACAGACCTTCCTGTCTGGGCTGGCTTCAAACTGCAACCCTCAGATCTCAGGCTCATAAATAGCCCAGATTACAGGCATGAGCCACGGGCACCCAGCATACCTACAAATTTTATAGCCATAACATGGTTAAGCATCTTAAAAATGATATGCATATATATATGTGTGTGTGTATATATATATATATATTTATTTATATATATATATAGAGAGAGAGAGAGAGAGAGAGAGAAGGGGAGAGAGAAGGGAGAGAGGGGGGGTCTGGTACAGGGGCATCAAATCAGGGTCAGGGCACTATCCCTTAGCTTTATCCCTCAAGGCTGACACTTTTGTATGGGCTTAGCTTCCCAGGCTGGCTTTGAACCATGATCCTTAGATTCTCAGCCTTCTGAGTAGCTAAGATTACAGGCTTGAGGCACTAGAGCTCAACTAGTGAGATTTTTTTTTTTTTTTTGAGCGCTGTCTATACACCACCAACTGTTGGGTTTTTTGTTTTGTTGGTCAGTCATGGGGCCTGAACTCTGGGCCTGGGCCCTCTTCCTCAGCTCTTCAGCTCAAGGCTAGTGCTCTACCACTTGAGCCACAGTGCCAATTCTGGCTTTTTCTGTTATGTGGTGCTGAGGAATCGAACCCAGGGCCTCATGCATGCAAGGCAAGCACTCTACCACTGAGCCACCTACCCAGTCCCTCTTGGATATTTTTTAGTTTTAGTTTTTACTAGATCTAGGGATAGAACCCTGGGCCTTACCACATGCTAATCAGGTAACTCTTTAATCCTAAACCACATCCTCAGTTCAATGCTACATTTCAAAGTTCCAAATTAAAACTCACGGTCAATGTTAAAGGCAGCTCTTTGCCTCCCGACTTTATATATGAGTACCTGGTACACGAAACTCTCCCCTGGTGTGGGATGCAGTGGTTTAGCAGTATAGTCCATATTCAGCACCATTACCATCTCCCAGGGACTTAAAGAAATGCAAACTCTTGAGATCCACCAGACACGCTGAAGGCAGGCTACCACCTGGGCTTTGAAGAATGTTCGTGTGATGCATTCAAAGTTTGAGATCTGACAGTCTCTAAAGACTCAAAGCAACTGTTCCATACCTTATCTCTAAAAAGATGTGACTTGCAGTCCTAACGAGAATGCACAAACAAGTGCACAAACGAATTCTATTATAGAGAAGCGAATCACTATGGAACTCAGGTCATAAGCCATCCATGCTGTGGACTGTTACTGGATGATCCTCATTTTCCTAGAACACATCCATTTTCTTATTCAGTTTGTTGCTGCATTTGTGCTGTGTTACTTTTTTCTTCTGTGCCAGTACTGGGGCTTGAATTCAGGGCCTGAGCACTGTTCCTGAGCTTTTTTGCTCAAGGCTAGTACTTTACTTCCATTTCTGGCTTTTTGCTGATTAACTGGAGATGAAGAGTCTCAAGGACTTTTCTGGCTTTGAACCTTGATCCTCAGATTTCAGTCTCCTGAGTAGCTAGGATTACAGGTATGAGTCAGGTATCCAGCTTCGTGGTTTTTGTTTGTTTTTAACTCAGGGCCTCATGCTTGCTAGGCAGGTACTGTATCTGGGATAACAGGTGTGTAGCACTGTGCCCAGCTATCAGGTGAAATGGAATCTCTCAAACATTCATGCCTGGACTGGCTTTCAGCCTGAATCCCCTGTTCCATACTTCCCAAGTAGCTAGAGTACAGGCTTGAGACCTCACACTTGCTTTTTCTCTTCTTTTGTTCTGAGAAAAACTTCATCCATCTAGTGAAGCACTTCTTCTCCTTAACACATATTCATTAAGTATCCAATATTTGCCAGGCATTTGTCTATTCTTCAAAAGCCTTTTGGATTCTAGAGAAATAGCTTATCAAAACATGTAATTCTAGCTACACAGGGAGTTGAGATCTAAGAATCAAGATTTGGAGCCAGCCCAAGCAGACAAATCCATGAGACTTTTATCTCCTATTAAGCATCAAAACCCAGATGTGGAGGTATGGTTTAAATGGTAGAGAGCTGGCTCTTAGGGGGAAAAAAAAAAGCTGAGCAAGAGCTCAGTAAGGTAACATCAGAAAAAATTATACATATATATATATATATATATATATTATTCTTGGCCCTAAATTGTATCTTTACATTTATATTTAAT